GTCACATTATATTTTCTGCAATCATCCCAAAACTGGCTTGCTGAAAATCTGGCACGCAAAACAATAGTTGCACCTGTGTATAAAAAAAAAAAAAAAAGTAAAACAAGTAAGAAATTGAACTATTCTTATTATATTGTAAGACCATATTGAACTTCTTAGCACATTAGAAAACCTGTAGAATTAGGGTTAGATAGCTTTTGAAAGTTCTTTCCTAAAATATACTGAAATACAATCCATGCTGAATGACTGGTTTAAGCTCTATTTCTATTCATCAGAAATTAAAGGCTATTACTGGGGATGTAAACCCAGTCCTAATTTACCTTAAACTGTAAAAAAGCTGTCATGTAAGATACCGTTTGTCCAGGAGATAAAATCTGTACAGGGATAAGATCTGTGTGAGTCATGTGACTGCAACCGAGTAACAAATGTCTCTTTACTTACGGAGTAGTCAACAAAGGTAACAGAGACATGTATAACCAAGTATTTAATCTCAAAAGTTTGGTAACTAGGGAAAGGCTTACTGTATCTATGATCATGAATTCTGCACAGTAACATGTTCATTCATATTAGTCAAGTGCATGGTACCTTTCATGATACATCCATGGACTCCAATGAGGAGAGCAGAGCTATGATAGAGTGGTAAAGTAGTATACACAATGTCTTCAGAGGTAACATTGCCAGCATCAAACAAACCACAAGCTCGCATTATGCGTTCATGGTTAATCACTGCAGCTTTGGGAAGACCTGTTTAAAGTCAAGCAAAAAGATGTGTAACTTGAATGAACAAAATCCACAGGAAGACCAGCCACGTTCACAAAAGCTTAAGAAAAGATTTTTCTCTCATTCACTGATGCAAGTATTAATTCTAGAGGTATGCGGCTTGCATTTATGCAATACACTGGTGTTTAGCCTTAATACTAATACTACGGTACCTAGGAATAACAAGTAACTAGAGAGTGAGGAAATGAGATTTGGAGAATCATGCATGCTGAGCAAAGGGAACAGAAATGCTAAAATAGAGGTTAATCTCAAATCTTGCATCTCTTCTTGAATTAGGTATCTCCTTGCACCCTAGCTGAAACTGAAATTCATACTACAAAATCTCTTCTTGGTTTCCTATCAGATACAGTTGAACTAATTACTTGTTGGAACAGGTGCTAGAAGACAAAATGATAGTAGTGCTTGCCTATTCTGTAAGAACAGGTATGTCAGAGCCATTAACAAAGATGCATCTCATTTGCCTTGTGCAGCCAAAATAGGACTTAGATTTCTACTTCCTCCCTTCCAGTGGAGTTCCAGCTTTAAGAGGCTCAAAGACTAGTATAGAGGCATACACCACTCTTCCTAATGAAGCTATAGGTTTGAGTGCCTTTGGGTTTTGCCTTCATCTTCATCCTTGTCACCCAGTTTCTGCTGTGGCTCAGTGCTCTTAACATTAGATGCCTTTATGTAGAACAAGTTGCAGCTTCTATACCAGCTGCAGTTTTGTACAGGGGCCATGACTAGCTGTATTTCGTGCTGCCCTTGCTATTTTTGGTGCTCTTGACACCCAAAAACTTAATGGCTAGCATTTATAGGTCATGATCCAAGTTGGTTGGTGCCAAGACACTGGGCCAGTAGTGTCTCCAAGGATAAGATGTATCTGCTATCTCGTGACCTGACTTACATAAAACTTTCATGTTTGATTGGCTTTCACTTAAGTCCCTCCCCCCATATTTAGTGCTTAAAGTCAGCCTATATTCTATGTGATTTTGGTTTTAGTACAGGTATCAAATTTTCAGTTTCCTGTGAAGAATGAATGAGAGAAGGAATTAACGTAAAGTTAATTCTCTTTCCTTACTAAAAAACCACAATGTGAGGAATGTATGGCCTGGTTTTGTGAATTTGCGTTACCTGTAGTACCAGAAGTATAAATGTACATGGCAGGAGTTTTAAGGGTTACATCTAATCTCCAGGACAATGGAGTAGGTTCATCTGAGGCAGCATCTACTTTATCAAGAAAGCTCTCAACTCCCTCTGTAGCAGATGTCTTGCTTAAATAATAAACTTTAACATTTTCTTTCTTCAAGAATGGTAGTATTTCTTCAACAGATTCCTTCAGTTCTTAAGGAGAAGAGAAAAAACTACTATAAGAAAATTCTGTATTATTCTGTGAACTATACATCACTGCATGAACCTCAAAATATTGGCACAGCCTGTCTTCTTCCATTCCACCCATGCTCTCCAGCACTGCACAGTAAAGCTGGATGGGAGGAGTTGGGCTCCTTTGACATCATCAGGCAATAAGGAGATAAAATAAGGCCTTTTATGCAAGTATCTGAGCTAGCACCTTTACAATAAATAACCCCAATAAACTTCACTGTGATAAATCACCCCCCAATAAACTTTTAAATTCGTATTTTATTATAGATATAAGTAACTTTAATAACATATAAACTGTTTTAATGACTTACGAATATTTCTTTTCAGAAACTTTCAAGCATGTGATGGTGAAGTTCTGATGACACAGTATTTATCTTCTGTGTGCAGTAGCAAAATAAAGGATAAAAATAAGGGCAGAATCAAGGTCCAACAGAAAAGTGCTAGACTTCTTTCCTCTCATGACGTCTAGCAATCATTAGTGCAGTCAAGCATGTAGTAAATTTTTATTACTAAAGCTCAATTTTTTTTTTTACTTTTTTTCCTATCACAGCTGAAAGCTTTTCTGGAAAATCTGAGGCAAGGATGTTACAGAAGGAGGAGAAATACATTTCCTATTCTGCACAACAGCTTTTCCCAGAAATGCTATCTCAAATACTGGTTGATTTTGAAACTTCAGAGATTTCACAGAATTTATTCTTGGACAGAAATTTATCATAAAAGGACAAGATTTCATCTGAACTCTTTTGGGGCATATAAAATACTTCAAATAGATGAAGTAGAATAAAGAGTTCAACTATCTAAGCTGTAATGGAGTATATATTATTGTAGAAATTGTTAACTCTAGGCAGATAAAGCACATCTCTGACTTCCCCTATGGTCAGTCGTTCATACTGTAAGTATTCATATGCTATATAAAGAACTGGGCATGAAATAAGGTCTCTGCTACAGAACAGAATGCAGCACTTAAAACACACTAGTATGTCAAAAATTTCTTCTGTGGAAAAGGAACAGAATTTGTCTACATGGGTTCATGTCTTTGTTTTCGAACTGAGACCTCCCAAAAGCTTTTATATAGACTGCAATGCCCTTTATGTGTTTTAAGTCACTGTGCAGCTGCAGTCAAGCAGCTTATTCTGCACTACCTTGGTTATTTCTACTTTGGGCATTTGTGTGAACGTAACTGTGATTAACCCTGTTGATTCAGGGCTGGTTTATTTCTAGGTCTTTGTTACCCTCATCGAGCAGCTAACAAGGTACCAGCGCTCAACGCCTGCACCTTGTAACCCAAAACACGGCGCACTGCGGGAACCTTGTCCTTTACCTGGTCTGCAGCAACATCTCAAAACCCCAAATGCACGTTCAGAGGACGGGACGCCATCAGAACAACGTGTCCCGCCGCTCCGGCACCCCCTGGCGCCGCGGGGAGCAACCGAAAACCCCGCGCGGCGCGCTCCGCTCCGCTCCGCTCCGCTCCGGCCAGCGCTGTCCTCACCTGGTGCCGCCAGCAGCACGTTGGCCGCGCAGCTCTGGAAGCAGCGCAGCAAGGACGCAGCCCTGACGCTGGAGTTGAGGCACGCCATGGCGCAGCCCAACTTGGCGCAGCCCAGCCAGACCCAGACGTAAGCGGGCTGGTTGCCCATGAGGAGCGCCAGGCAGCCCCCCGCCCGCAGCCCTGCCGCATCGCGCAGCGCTCGCGCCGCCTGGCTGCTGCGCCGCTCCACCTGCTCGTACGTGGACACCTCGTCGCCGAAGAGCAGCAGCGGCTTGTGCGGTGTGAGCCGCGCCCGCCGCACGAACACGTCCAGCAGTGTCTCGGCGGGCCGGCGGGCACCGGCCCTGCGCGCCCTCCTCGCTAACCGCGCCATCGTGAGGGCGAAGCGCAGGTCCTGGAAGAGGTAGGGCCAGGAGCAGCGCAGCAGCAGCGGCAGGAGCAGCAGCCCGGCCAGCGCCGTGCACAACGCGGGCAGCGCCACCGTGACCATCGCGGTCATGGCGATGGTGATGGTGATGGCGATGAGGCCGCCAGCGCCTCGCGCCGCCAGGGCGGAACGACCGACAGCCGCGCCTCGCGCCCAAGGCGGGACGGGGAGAGCCAACGGCCGCGCCTGGCGCCCAGGGCAGGAAGGAGCAACAGCGGCGCCCGCCCCTCAGAGCCCGCCTCACCAAGCGCCGCACGCACCGCATCCTCACTGACCCCGCGGCGGATCCTTCCCTGCCTGTTGCTCCCCGTGTGATGAGTGAATTCCTGTTTGTTAATCAAATCTTGTTTGCTTAAAAGTTAACTGTTTATTTAGGAGTTACTTTCTTGTTTAAAGGTTACTGGAAGATTTCAACACTTTGACATTTGGCTTATAGACTGCAAGCATCTGTTAGAGTAAACTAGGTATGAAAAAGAAAATAGCGAGCCTTCCTCCCCACACCCACCGGACCCACCGGGAGGCCAAATGAGACTCCGAAGGAGATAAGGAGGCTTTCCACACCCACCGGGAGGCAGAATGAGACCCCTTATCAACGGGCCACACAGACGCAGAGTACGCCAAGAGTAGCATGTACATTGAATAAAGAAGAGTGTAAAATCAGTGACTTTGGGGAAATCGGGTGCGTGCTGTTGGCGGAGCAGAGACTCCCCAGCTGCCCAGCACTGTTTTGCTTGCTGTTGCTTGCTCAATAAACCGATTTGATTCATTGGCCTGGCTCTAGTCAATTTATTTGAGCCACTATTTATAACACCCACTGTATTTGGGGTGAGTGCTCGTTGACTGTGGGGAATGGAAGTGCTGCAGCTGGTGCATGCTGAGGTGCATTCGCAGCCTTCTGAGCTTTCTCCCTACCTGCATGCCATGCCAGCGCCCAGCAGTGTAGCAGAGACGCAAGTTCAGGGTGTAAGGTAGACGTTTTGCATTACCTCAGGATAGAGAGGCTGAATGTGTGGAATACGGGCCACATGCACGTTCACTTTCGGAGCTACAGTGACCGATAGCAAAGGCAGCCAAGCCTGGTCAAGGTTCACGTCGGGAGAAATGTGGGATGAGGTTTTCTGGCAGATTCAGTGGTGAGCTGCCCTGGGAACATGTCCCTCTTCTGGTACCATGTCCCTCTTGTGGTACCAGCCCTGGTGCTGTTCTTCACTAGGTGGTAAATAGTGCCTGAGCCAGTTGAAAACTTCGGGTGTGACTTAGGTTTGTCTTAGTTAAAACTTTTCAAATTTATTAGTATTCTAGATGCACAAAAGGAATTTACAGTCTCAGCCTTTGTCTTGCTCTTGTCTAAAGGTAAGAGACACAGTTACTCAGACAACCTTGAAGCAAACTCCAGGAATTTCACCCTTCTGACTAGACCTCATGACTAGAACTCAGTGATTTCCTTGGTGAAGTTTAGGCAGCCATTACTGTGAACAAGGACTGCTTTGTCTTTGTTTGGGTTTTTTTGTTTATGTTTTGCTAAGTGCCACCAAGGGGACAGTTTTCTGGCCTCTTGTTCATGGTTTTCTGCTCCCCTTTTATATCAGATCTGATACTTTTCACCACAACGTGAGTTGATTCAGGTCACTGATATGCCAGGAAACTCTTCCTCGCTGCAGGCTTTGTTTCCCCTGCCAGGGGCGTTCGCTTCGCTAAGAGGTGAGCTGTGGTTACCTCTAACGCAACGCAAGTGCTGGTGTCTGAATGGGGTGGGAGGGAGCAGAGCCGCCTCGTTAGTTAAACTGTGGTCAGACTTCCCAGGCAGCTCCTGCTTCTGAAACTGGAGCTGGTGGATTGCAAGTGGCCAATAGCCAGTGTTGCTTTTCCTGCCCACATCCTCCTGCCCATGTGCCAGAAATAATGGGACTGAGTGATGAGCTGCTTCAGGGAGCTGCTTCAGGTGGAAATTAACTGATTATGTCTACTGTAAATTCTTACTATCATTAGACTTTAGCTTTGGGATAAATCAGAGGGCTTTCTCAGTTGTTTTGTAACAGGGCTGCTCTTTTTAACTGGTGGCTCAGGTTGGTTTGTTTTGAACAGCTTTTTCACAGTTGTAAAAGCTGCAGAATTATTTTTAAAAACTTGTTTATCTGCTGGTAACTGCCCGGGAGAAGTATGAGATTAGTCACCCTACTGGCTACGTTCAGAACCAGTCTTTCCAAAGCATTGTGGAGCTGCGGTAACTAATTCCAGCCTCTTGCTCATCAGAGCCTGTAGCAATATTGTGCTGGGGTCCTGCAACGGGTGTTCTGAGGAGGAGTTTTCTTATGTAACCTTTTCCTCTTCAGTTACATCTCAGACTAGCCTGGAGAGCTCAAAGTTCCAGGTTAACTGATCATAAACGTGCCCCAGTGACCTTTGGCTGCCCCTTTTTCAGGACTCATTAAAAACAAACAGCAAAACGCCAACCAAACATGTAAAATTTCACACATGTACTTGCTTCGCTGACCAGCTTTTTCACAATACATTGTTCTTCTAAGCTACAACTTGAGATAACATTTTCCATTGTCCTCCTAATGCAGGGTCCTCATACAGGTTTAAGTTGTAGGAAGATTTCAGCCATGAGCTAGCTAGCTTGCTGATCACCTAGCAATGGGGACTAGAATTCAACAGCTTAAACAGTAATTATTTCAGCATTGCTAAGCATTTGGATGGCCTCCAAATTGGAAACAAACTACACTTCTTCAGTTCCTGTTATTTTCCCTGCCATTTGCCAAGCCCCAGCTACCTATGTCTATAGTGTTCCTTCTGGCACTTTAGATTTAGTAATAAATTTTGTTTTATTTTTTTAAAGCCCTGTTATGAATTAGTCAGCACTGCACACTGGGACAATGTGTTTTCCTCCAGTAATCTCAGGGGGTAAAGGTGTGTTAGTCTGCTGCTAGATATCGTTTTGTTTGTTCAAGTATTTCTCATTCCTATAGCAGTTTTAATATGTATTTAACTGCTAATTTGTAAGTTATTTGAGGTTAATACATCATTAAATGTGTCACATATGATGTGGCTGGTGCCCTTTTTAAGTTATTTTTGTGAGGGAATAACCAATGTAGGCAGGTTATTTTGTGCTCGACTAATGTTATGGACTGCCATATATTTTTTCTCAAACAGCTGTCACTTTGGCTGTAAATTGCAGTATGTAAGCTTCAGTGTTTTCGTTGAACCAAGTGTCAGTTTAAATATTTTTAGCCTAGGGACAAGGAGTGCTTTTTTAATTGACTAGTTGTTTGCTGGGTTTTATAGTTCAGTAAACCCTGTTTAATACCTTATCATCCTCCCCGCCCCCCAGTTAGCTACTCTAAATGCAGAATTTTTGGAGAGAGCAGGTGGAGCTTCCAAGGATGGGTAGATACTTCTTTAGCATTACAGGAGATGTGTGCTTGAACCTGTGCTGCTAACAGGTTGAGGGCTAGGCCTGCCATGGGCAGTTGTCATTGCTACCCTATGTTGGGTGCTGTCTGTGGGACCTGGCTCTGCAGAAGGCCTCTTGCCAGTGCTTGGCTCTGCCCAAGCACCCTTCAGAGCCTGCGCAGTCATGGGCTGTGTGGAGAAAAAATGCTGCTTGCAGCAGCTTGCTGCGGTTCAGTGGGTGCTCAGTTAATGAGTTTATGACTTCCCATGTATGCTCATTGCTGTGGTGTCCTCATTTCCAGCTTTCAGTCTCCTAATGCTTTGTGGAAGCACTTGAAAAAAGCAGATGCCTTTCTATAATAGCTCCATGATAGCTGACATTCATAGAACTCTTTGTTTTCTCAGCATCAATATCCTCCATGGGGATGGATCAAATGTCAAGGTGCCTGTAGAGGTCACAAGGGACTGTATTTCTTCTTATGTAGAAGTGATTTCTTTTCCTTCATTATGGGGCTATAATTTAAACTTATATAATTAAGTTATATAATAAACTTATATAAATGTAACTTGTATAATGAATGCCTAAGTATTTTGAAATAGAGGCCCCAAAATTAACAATCCAAAAATCAGTATTTTTAGCGAAGTGTTACTAGCTTTTCCACTTCTTACTGTCACAACTGGAATCTGAGCCTAGTCTTCTGTTCCAGCCCCTGTGAATGATGCCCAGGCTTACTAGGTTTGTTAGTTGCTTAATAAATATTTGCAGGGTACAGTGAGCTGCGATGTGGTGCTGATTATTTGTAGGTGCTCCTGCCACTGTGGCAAGCAGTGAATAGCTTCTTCTTGATTTCACCTATGAAACCCTAACTGCTCAACACTTGCTTATACTCAGCTTTAGATGCTAGAATATGTTAGTATTAGAAAATATAGTTAATGAAATTTACTCACTACTACCTTCTTTTCTCGGTTTCTTGCTCTGCTCTCTCATTTGCTTCTGTTTTCAGTTCTTTGTAGGGAGCTTGTTGCTACAGTGCTTGTGTACACTATCCACAAAGCAGGAGAGGAAGAAAAAATTAAAGAAAAGCTAAACCTTGCCAGATGCTGTAGAGTTCCTTAGACTTGGGAAAGAGACTTCTACTCTGCAGGTTCAGACAGTCAAGGCTTTGCAGGGTTTGCCAGCAGGCAGGGATATCTTGCTTTGGTCCACGAGATGTCACCAGAGGGTAACAAGTAACTGGAAGTTTGTATTAAAGTGGGATTCAAGCTTGCTGTACTATGAGCTAAGGGGAAGCTACATGGACAGGGAGCACGGGAAAGCCCAGAACTCCTTCTGCTGGCTAGACATAGAATGCTCCAGGCTACAGCACTTTCTGAGAACACACCCTCCTGTCTTTTCTGTTCCATTTTCTGTTTTTTTTTAATGGTTTGATGGGAGACCTTACTGTAGTGGTCTAAGGCAGCATGCTGCATTCTAGCTGGCTGAAGTGACAACAGTTATACCACAACGCAACACTCACCTAATTACTGATGGATGGCAGACAGGTGGGATTCAGAGTGGGTGATTTGTGACTTCAGTGAACCTGTGTAACAGGTCACCAGGATTTGTTATTATCTTACCTGTTTCACCTGACCCTTCCCATTAAAACCCCCAACTGTGTATTTTTCAGGATTGCTAAATTAGTCTTCATTTTCCAGTTTTAAATGCCTTTCTGTCCCATCTTCAAATCCACAGCTGCTACAGTTGCTATTAAAGGATTATTTGCTGTATTACATAGAATGGTTAAGGTTGGAAAAGACCTTAAGATCATCCAGTTCCAACCCTCGCAAGGTTGAAATCAGATGAAACAGGTTGCCCTGATCTGATTAATTGGTACTGCCAAAAGTGGTGATTCTGTTACTCTCACCTCTTTACATGGCCTCCTAGCTCCACTGTCTCCCTTGCTGTAGCTCTGGTGCTCTTCTGACATTTCAGTGATGAATTCAGCTTACTAAGCCAGCAGAAAGCTCTGTTTTGCTGTGTGAGTTCTCATCTGACTCATTGAGTAGAACTGGCTCCTCAAGGAGTCGTATTAATACCAGTGTTAGAATTAATGCAAAGGAAGGAATGAGGAGATAATAATCCCCCGCTTGATCTCCCTTCCGTACATGCTACATTCTTTTGTGGTTTTTTTTCCCACTTAGGAAGGGGTACAAGGCAAAATAATTTTTATAAACATAAGAACCAAGTTCATAGTCTATGGAGAGATAAATTGCTAAACCTACTCATGGCAGAGTTCAAGCCATTCCATTTTTGTACTCCCTGTCTGGCAGAGGTTCAGGAGATGAAGGTCAGTGAAATACATGCTCTGGCACCACTTAAACTGTGCTAACATCAGCAGTTTATTGGTATTTTTCCAGACCTTTCCCTGCTTTCTGAGGGATGATGCTCACAAATTTGTAATGCATCAGTATTTCCAGTAGGTCAGCTAGGTGAGCTGACTTGCTGGGCCAGTCTGCCCCTGATTTGACAGCTTTGGTCACTGACATACTTTGCAATTACTAACCTCCAAAAACGTCTCCTTCACACTGAGTGAACTGCTCCTGTGACCCTGGAATTTCCAAGAAATCAAGGGTAAGGGTACCTTGCTGTACTCTGACACAAGCTCTTTTATGTTCCTTTATGATAATGACATGGTTTTTAAAAGACAAAAAAGGTACAACCTGGCTGGGAATAAACGTGCCATGACTTGTTAGACAAAACAATATAGATAGATAGTCTGGGTTTGTGTGCTATGAATAGAGGTACTACTAGTGTAGACATACACGAGATCTATTACACTCCACGGAAGATGAGCAGTGTGTTAGTAGGGAAGCATGAAATGAAAATACCATTACTATGTCTGCAATTAATAACTATGGACCTTAGCTACTCCTCCTTGCATATCATTACTTAGTACCTTAGCCTACTGGCTAGAAGTGTAAGTGGTATTTTGAGAGGGGACCTGGTCTTCAAAAGCCTAGTTGGAGATCTAATCATTTTATTGCAAAGCCAGAAGGCTTGTTAACATACATATAGCACTTACAGCAGACTGTAAGTGCTGTCTTACCAGCAGCTTGTGTGGAAAACTGGACTAGAAAGTGAAGGAAGGAAAGGGAACCTTTCCTCTGTTCTGCCTAAATTTATTAATTTGATCTAAAACCTCTTAATGAAATCTTTCCCTTTTAAGAAATGGACATTTTATAACCAAGAGCTTGTTTTGCTAGAAAATTGCCTACCAAATCTCTGTGCAATACTGTGTGTGTTTCTAGGCTATTCAAGTTAAAAATCTTAAACTACTTTGTATTGAATGGTGAGCTTAGTCTTAGCTCTGCTCATTTATGATTAGCTGAAGAAATTCTAAGTGAAGCTGTGTGATTTGTAGTGAGACTCATCTTTATGTTGAAGAGGTGTTAGAAGCAACTGGTGTGAAATTCTAGGAACAAAATTGTAATGTTCCACAGCAACATGTGAGAGATTCGTGGTGTTGGATGGTAACTAGATTCTTGGCACTGAGCCCATCCTCATCTTCCTTGGGTGGACATGGTTGGGATTCATCAGAACAGGTGTACACTTCAAGATCAGGGAAGGGAGATGTTAAAGCTCAGGAATTACCTCATCTCCTAATACAGGAATTCCAAAGGGAGCCTTGCTCAGTTCTCTTTCATGGAGTTGATAAATTGTTTCCATCCCATAAATAGATTTTGAATTCTGTTAGTTCATTACAGACACACAGCCAAACTCATTCCAGAGCTATGCCAGCAGAAGTTAGTTCAGAGTTCAGATAGTTAGGTTAGTACAGGTACCCCAGTCACTGCAAGTAAGCTACTTGCTCTCTTCTCTTTGTTGTGGACTTGTTATCTATCAAGAGCTAAAGTGGCCAAGGGAAGGTGAAAGCATAAGGATTAAGCAGAAAACTTAGCTGAATCTTGACCTCAGGAGAATTTAAGATTGCTTCTTTCCACCAAATTTTGACTGTGCCATTTTTTAATATTTTTTTTTATTTGTGATAGAAGAGTGACATCCATGTGTCCAAATCCAGTGTTGTTTTTTAACCAGTAGCTTGAATCAGTTTCAGCATAAAACTCATAATGAATTTATGAAATCCTCTGAAGGAGACACTTGAATAAAGCCCTACTTGTGTAATTTGTATAAGCTAACCAAGTTATACTTTGCAAACTTTTTAGAGGCTTTACAGTATGAGCAACATTCATAGATGCTTCCAGCAAGAGCATCAAGTGATGGAATATGCTTATCAAAATATGCTTATCAAAGAACTGTGTTTTCTAAGAAAAAGGGCATCAGGAGAGGCTTTATTCTTACAGCCTTATTTACTGAGCAGTAGCAAACTGAACAGACAAGATCTGCCATCTAGTTTACTCTAAGGGTACTTCAACCTCTTTCACATGAATAAACTGCATGCATATGCTAGAAAATAGTAACTAACTGCTTGTCTGTCAAAGGAAATATTCAAAAGCTCAGGAAACTGCACACGACTGAGGTTCTATGGCTTATTCCTCTTGTCAGAAGTCTCTTCAAGGCATTCTGTGTTCCGTGTAGAAAGGAGAAGCAGGGGAAAGCTGGCTTTTGTAGCATTCTCTCTAAAGTAAATAGAGCTCTAATAACCTTGGTGCATTGGGCTGTCCTCTCCTGGAAGCTTGGGATGGATAAGAGATTATTGGAGAGTCAAGGCTTCCTGTCTCTTCCAAGAAAGGAAACAAGTGGAGCAAATGCTATGTATTGCCACAAAAATCATGCAAAACCCCTTCACATTAGGAGGCCAGCAGCTTACTTGCAGTTGCTACTCATGCAATGATTAAAAGAACCAGAGTTTTTGAATCTGTTGTTCAGATGCATGTGATATAGCTGCAATTTTAACTCCAGTGGGAGTGAGAAGAAAACTGGATGCAGTTGTTATTTCAGGGGCACAGCAAAGTTCTATTAATTATTTCTAGAAATATTTTTCAAGAATGATATGATGAGGTTTTCAAATTTTAAATGGGAATGTATAACAGGCTATGTTGCAAGAGCATGTATTTGAGATTCAAGAGATTTCAAATGTCCTGGAGCCATGAACTTCACTTGGCAACCCTGAGAGAAAGTATTGTCACAAGACTGACCCTAGAAAATGTTGGCAGATCATGTTGCTGTATACATGGAAATACTTGTCTGAATGAAATCTATCCCACCAAGCGATGTGCCTTCTGCTGCATGAACGTCCTGCATTTTTTCAGTTGTCAGCACTGCACTGCCTCTGGAAATGACAGAGTATAAATGTCATGGATTATGATCATCAAATCCTTTGCCTTCATAGAACTTTCTTCAGCTCTGTCACCTTTCTATAATAGAAATGTAACATCTAAAAATAAACTAGATATTTATATGTACGTTGGTACTCATGTTTATGTACATATACAGTGTAGCTAGTCTGAATGAGGATTTCTGCAAGCTCTATTAGGGAAAGAAATTAATTATTACATCAGTCATTTCTATGATGTAACGAGATTTGTGAGTAGCCAGAAGGACAGTGGAAAGTCCTATCTTCCTATCCTATCCTAAAGTGTATTTAGTCATCAAAGACTATTTGCTCAAAGTTCCAAACTGCTGGGTTTTTTTACTACTTTTAAGCCAAAAGTTTTGTCTAACAGTTCTCTTGCCAGAGCTCTGGCACTATGTTTGCCATTTCAATTGGAACTTCTGTCTCCTTGCTGGCCAGTGTTCTGCTCTTCATACACATGTACCTCTGCTATCTGTACTGTTTCCCCTGCTCAGTTCCTGAGCCTTGTTTTGGGTGGGGGTACATAGCTGTGTTTCTCTACATCCTTCTAGTTTTCCAGCTACCTGGTTCCCAAAAAGGGGTTAAATTATTTCCTACATTATCAGACATGCTTGAAATTTAGTGCAATACATGTTAGTATTAATAATGTTCTTTTGAATTACATATGGTTAAATGCATTTAATTGTATATGTGATTTTGCATTTTACAGTGAATTTTTAAAGACATTTTAACAAAAAGCTATGAAGAGCAAAGTTTGCATAAACAGGAGAGGTTTTTTTCATCTTTTGATTTCTTAAAGACAAGGACAGTTTTAGTCTTGCTTCCTGAGAATATAAGGTTAAATGACCATGCGTTGTGTATGTGCATATATGTCTGTGTCTGTTCCCTCCTTCCCCTCCCTGTAACTTGAACCTGTTGGCGGCTTTCAGACAAATTTGAGAAAGGGTCATAGGTATTAATGGTATTAAGTTCTTACAAGTTTTTTGATAATAGCTGGCTGGGTAGGAATGAAAAATACCTCTTAAGTGCCCCAACTAGCAGAAAGGCTGCAGCGTACCATTACCATACATTACAAGTGTGTCCATGTAAAGGAGATTCTTTATAAATTCCGAGCTCTAATTATGGTAAATACCATGCAGTTTATGATAATGATTTATCATTTACCATATGAATTGCACAAAAAGTGAGTTTTACTTAGTTTTTGTACTCATAGGAATGTTTCATTCTGTAGTCAAAATTCTGTTGTAGCATATTGCATCAAGTCTGATAAAGAATGTGTCAGCATGTCACACAGTGAAGATGTCCTGACAAGAAAGAACAGAAAATCTTCCAAGAAATCTCCAGAATTAGAATTTGAGGAGATCTACAGGATTTGTCCTCCAATAACTATAAAAGATAAAATGGGCAGAAGCCATGTGGAGTTTGTTAGAAAGTTTAAAGTTTAAATCAGGTTTGGTGAAGCTGAGATTAGGGGGAAAGAATTTCCTGGCATTTTAATTAAAATTGAAATGTCTGTCAAAGGACTTGAAAACAGCACTTTGTCAGCTTTTATTATATGTCACAAGTTAGAGTGAAATATTTTTTAAATTGTTTCAATTATGTGTAACAAAATATTTTTACTGTTTTCAGAGTTCAGAGTTGACTACAAAACTATGAGCTTAAAAGAGAGATGAAAAAAAAAGTCATTTTAATATTTTGAGATACATTTATTCTTCCCAACTGGAACAGTCCAGACTTCTGAACTTCAGGAAGTCTGAAACTTGCTTTCTAAGAAACATACTGGGTTCTTCTGTGTTGTTCCTGATAGCTAATAGATAAGGTTTGCTGTGCCAAATTCTCTTCTTGCGGGTATTGAAATTCAGCAAGCA